CGACCGATTGACGACGAACGACGTACGACGGACGACGACGGACAAAAACAGATAGCAATAGGTCACCTGAGTTTACTCAGGTGACCTAAAAAGATTATTTCTGTCTGCATGGTTACGGGTATGTAGGCTCGTTATGGTAAACGTAAAGGAAATAGAAAATTTATTAAAATTCAAAACATGCAAGCATGACAGTTTTTGCTCATTTTAATACCCACCATGACGTGCGGTTCAAACACCTTGCATGGTATCGGATGAAATTGGGGGTATCTACGGCAGCAAATATAGCGTAATTTCACTATAATAGTGAAATACCACTATTATAGCGGAATTTACGTTTCCCCCAACCTGTTTGCTATCTGTCAAGACCTTGTTTATTCAACATAAAATAAATTTATGCTTGACTTGTTTGTACATCAATATTTCTTTTTCACTTTTTTCCTTATGTATTTATATTATATTGACAGTTGTATGGTGAGAACCTAGTAAGTTGTTAGAACTTGTGTTCAAACCATTTGTATAGTATTTATACAATAAAAGATGTTCAAACCAAACCAAAGAAGTTTAAACAGGGTCTTCATTTCAATCATGCTGAAGGATACAGAATACAGTATATCATTTAAACATTTATTCAAAACCAAATCTTGTAAACATACCATGTCAACAAACGAAATATTTTTTTAAAAATCATTAAATCACAGTACATGTATATACAATATATTCAAAAGTATATTCAATAATCTTTGGCATATTTCTATGTAAAAGTGTTAACAAAGTATTAATGAATTACAATATAGAACAACAACACAGAACAATATGAAATCAATAATGTACATCAAATGATTATCACTGAATTAAATGTTTAAAGCAAACCTGTTATGAAGCAAAACTTACATTGAGCAAAAGAACGGAATCAATTTAAAACTCAAATATGTGCATCAAATGATTAGATCATTATAAAATGTATATTAGCAAATAAGATAAGCTATTCATTAGAATAAGCTGAATCATATGAATAAAAAACTAAGAAAACCTTACTTTCATTAAAGGAGGTAAAAGGGGAGCATTGTTCCTAGATATATGCTTTAATATCGGAAAATGGCCTTTTTGGATGACGACGAGCTCGCAGCCAAGCAATGCTCTTATATACAAAATATATGATTGCCAGTCAGGATGATATTAATGAAATGAAATGTTTTATACTTATTGGTTACAGCCTACGAAATCATTTTTCAAGTGATTCGGGGGGGGGGGGGGGGGTGTCTGTGTTTGCTCTGCGCTTATTTTGTATTGGTTTATGGACTTTGAGATTGAATATTGTTCGTTATCTCCATATTCTTCTTTCAATTGATAAAAAAATTTTGAAAATATATCATTCAAAGAGGTAAACTATTTTCAAGCTCCAAACTTGATACTGTATACAGTTGCATTGTATACTATGAGTGACATGTTTCATGTTTCAAAATTTAACAGGGTCACCATAGAAAACAGTTTGTTTTCTAACTCTTTGTGGATATCTACTTGTGTTTGCAGCATTATCTTCCTGAATATGCTGCACTGTTGGATTTTTGTAGCTTTTAAAAACTTTCAAAATTATTTTACAAACACCTTTAACAATTGCATACTTTTTTTTCAAAATTGTTATGATTTCCAGCAACTTCTTGATGTCAATAATTGAAATTCCAATATATATAAGTAGTCCAAGAAAACCTACAAAATTAAAATTTTAATATGCATGTATCATCATAGGTATTCAGTGCCATCATCCTCAAGATCATTTTCTTTGGTTTCAATATCTCTTTTTTAAAGTAGTCTAACCTTGACACAACACACATTAGCAGATATACTGGTAGCTTGCGTGGGATGTTTGTCACTTCTGGCACTGGATGCGGGGGTACATGTATCGGTGGGATGGCTGCTCCTAGACGAGGAGACATGCTGCAAAAATTGAAAAATCAATGTTAAACATGTATTGACTTGTGATATAGACACATTAATTCTGAATAGTAAGACATAAACAATTATTGTAATCATATCAATCATAATTCTTAGCTCCTCATACATAGACATTTTTGTAATTAAATACTCATTTGATGAAGTCATAATAAAATACTAACACACATATCGCCATTCATATAAGCAGTGAGCGCTCTCTGGGTTAGGAAGACTTGGTTTGCATCTTTACACATCAGTGGTGTGTTTTCTACGCAAACAACATCCACATGGGTGCATGTCAAATCCAGCATGCCATCGGCAAGTAGTAAGGAATACAGAGAACAGTCACTTTACAGGCATGATTCCATATGAGTGAAAAATTCTCGAGAGGGACGTTCAACAACAACATTCAGGATGACGTCATGGGTTTTTCCAGACCCCATCCACAAAGGTGTCACACCAAGGTCAAATGAGTAACCCAAGGTGACCTTGGAACTTAATCCGTGAGTGACCCCAAGGTATTCACCTTGAGAAAGTCTAACTTGACAAATGGATTCATCAAGGTCACTATGGGGTCACCCACTTTGTACCAAAGTCACCTTGGGAGTCACCTTCAGAATGTTACCTTGATAATTCTGAAGTCACTAACAGTTTGAGGTCACCTGATTATTAGAACAGCCTGAGGTCATCTTTGTAAAATCTTCTAGATAAAGTTGATGTCACCTTGATAATAAATTAGAACAATTCTGGGATCACCTTCTTATCATATTGAAATCACACTAATAATTGGAACTTCTAATGTAGGTCACATCTTCAAGGTCACTTATTTGCAAACCAAACGAAAACTATAAATTGAGCCATGGCTGAGAAATGTTTTATAGAATCCATGGCTACTCGCTGAAGTCGAGCTAGTAAGTAAAGCCTTATTAATGAAATGATTTTAAAACAACATGAGTTTGACAACAAGACATAACATAAAATTAATTTCAGATTTGTTTATTTCAATTTAAAGAGAAATATAGTCCCATGAAATATCTTAATGAAATTGATTTTAAAAAGAATAACCCAAGACTGAGGAGAAGAAATTAAGTTTTTAAGTTTTACAGTTATGAGAATCTTTGAAAAGTACAGGGAGAACAACAAAAATCATTTTTATTGTAAAATATATACAAAATCATATAAAGTCTTTTAATTATAAACAAGGGCACCGCTAACGGAGCATCCCCTCGCGGCAGGAACATCATAGTAATGGCAATATCTCATAACATAAATTCTCAAGGGACGTTCGAAGAGTCTCCAAATTGGTTGCAAACCCGCAACATTAGGATCAACTCCCTTACTTTTGACAAAATAATTAGTGCAGTGTTTTTGTTGATCCAATTTTTTTTTTACAAAAAGCACTGTCTTGGTTGGGGGGGGGGGGGGCATAATTTTTTTTGGGTAGTAAAGTTTAATATAAGGTATAAAATTGTTTTTCAGCTCTATTTATTTCTTAAACAAAATTATAGGGGGTGGGGTAAAAAATATCAAATTGCATAGCATTTAAGATGGGGCTGTTTCTGTTGGATAAGAAATGATAGGTTAAAAAAGGTTTGAATCGAATGTATTTTAAGTACATATAGTTCGGTAGGCAGCTTGACCTTATTAAAGCTTAATGATGAAAATGCAAAACGCATAGGAAATTATAAATGTCAGTCATACGATTTGTGATTGTTTCTAATTGTTGTTTGTCTCTGTAAAGTTCTTTCTTTTTTTTCTATCAATTTCTTCTCGAAGAGCATCTGCTGACGATTTAAGTTGGATCTTTTCGTCGTGCAATTCCACCACGTTGGAAGAGTGGATGTAACAAATACGATTTTTGTTAATTTCTAACTGCTGCTCGTCTACGTCAACTTCTCTTGTTTTATTGTTGATTCTTTCCAGAAGATCTTCCGCTGATACTTTAAGTTTAACCGTCTCCTTTTTAATTCCTTCACGCATGACTGCCTCGAAGATTGGACCTTGTTAAAAATAATTAGAAATAGGGTGAGGGTAACTACTTCCGCTTCTTGGATTGAGTATTAATTATTCTTGGTTAACATTAATGCCCCAGTAAATATTTCAGTACATGGTAAGGAATCTTAAAATGTTGCCACATCTTTGTTATCGTCTGATTCGACAATCTTTTTTTATTTGTTGGTACGCTGATCATGAGTTATATTTAAAAAAATAATAATAATACTATTGTGGAATTTCGCCTATCCGACTATTATCGTTTAAACATGAAGACAAAATTCAATAAAACTTACAATTGGAGGACTCGAGGGATGTAGACTTCTAACAAAGTCTCTTACTGCTGGTATCTCTTCCCCAAACCTAGCATTGCCTGCATGACCTCCTCAAGGAGGGAAGTCGTTGTTCCTCTTGCATTATCAGTCAGGAGGAAACAGAAAAAAATAACAATACATGTATATAAGTAATCCAAGAAAACCTACAAAATTAAGATTTTTATATATCATCGTAGGTAATCAGTGCCATCATCCTCAAGATCATTTTCTTTGGTTTCAATATCTCTTTTATAAAGTAGTCCAACCTTGACACAACACACATTAGCAGATATACTGGTAGCTTCCGTACTATGTTTATCACTTCTGGTACTGGATGTGGGGGTATCGGTGGGATGGCTGCTCCTAGACGAGGAGACATACTGCAGACATTTTTGTAATTAAGGTGGGACCTATGTCCGAAAAGTCTTTGTGTGAAATTTTTAAAACTTTGATATTTCTTTCCTGACCACTTGCTCTTAATTTTTAAGTATTAAAAACAATACATTTATATGCTTATTTTTACACAGGAGCACGTGCTAAAACAATGTGAAATGCTAAATATAGATTATTTTAAGACATTATTGCTATACCCCAAATATGCCCTAAAAAGAACCAAAAATATCAAATCATATTCAAAATCAACATGTATTTCATTTATATGACTTGTATCTTTAAAATGAAGGCAAATTCATTATAATTCATCTCCCATGAAAAAAATATATTGAAACACAATGTAAGTACCACTCTGTTTTTCCGCATTTTTTAGTGAACATGGTCTGGAATTTCACAGAGTGTTTGGAATTCCACTCTTACGTTACAGTTTTTATTTATATCATCTGTTCCAAAAATTTACTAAAATTGTCGACTGTGCTAAGTCTTTTTTTTCATACATTCAATTATTTGTTAAAGAGCCCACAGTTCCTCTTTCAGCAAGGGCCTGTTTTGTTGATATTGGTGTCCTGCACCTTCTCTCCAAGGCTGCATATTTCCTTGGACTCTTCTTTCTGTAGATATAATGAAGAAATAGCCAGGATCATTAAAAATGTTTGTGTGATGTATGTGTGATGTATTTAGACCATATAAACACATGATCAAATATTTTAAATTTGAATTAATTAAACATATTACATAAAAACATGGTATCATTTTTTTTTATAATTGCGGTATCCCATGATTTAAAATTCTGAAAATATTAACCTTCGTAAATTTTGAGTTGAAGGATATAAAACAAGATTTTAAAAAACGAAATAATATTTGGCAACAAAGAATACCGGTGAAAGTCCATTTTATACATATTATAAATTATGATTCTTAATAATACTTAAAATTATTTCATTGCAATTACAATTTACAAAACCGAGCTACAGATAATATAACAAGTAACACGCCAGGATGATGGGGAAAGAATACCTCACAGTTCAGAAAACAATAGGTTGACAGCTCTGAGGTCGACCAGTTCCTTCTCAGGCGCAGATTCTCGGCCTCCAGCTTCCGTCGTTTCTCCCTTTCCACAAAAAGTTCAGAAAAAAGTCTTTAAATTGTAAAGTTTCTCCTCAGCGGTCTTTTCTTGAAGTTGATGGCATCAGTAAGGGTGTACAACCTTAATTTCAAGGTTCAGAGTCAGACTTTACTGTTCTATGAATAAACTCTAAAAGATACCCGATGATAGATATGCACTAACCCTTACCCTTTGCCCAAAAGAAAACAATTACTACAAGAAGGATTGCATAGACAGAAATTGTAACCTCTGTGGAGTTGGTGAACTTGATGAAGCTGTTTGAGAATTGAAGAAATATGTTCTCGGCTTTACAGATTACATGGAAATGATGGGAATAAGGAACAAAAACGACAGAAGCAAATGGAAGACAAACTTTAAAGAGATTTATGAAATTGATAAGAATTACATAAACAGTACTAGAGTTTCTGGATCAATTGAGACAAGAACTTTCCTCATTTTCAAAACATTTGTTTAATGCTCAATGGCAGTCTAAGGAATTGGAAAGGAAATATTCCAACAAACTGGGTCATGATATGTCTGGGCTTTGCTGAAAACTACTGTTGCAGACACCAAGATGAAACCCAAAGTGCCTACTGGACATATGAACAGGTCACCATCGCGGTTGTGGCTAACTACAAGTGCATGGAAGAGAACTGCAATGAAAATGTCATGGAATCTGTTGTTTTCATCTCAGAATACCATAAGCATGACCATCATCTTGTACAACACTTCATAGCAAAAACCAATGAGTACTTAATTCAAGGTGTGGGCCTTAATACTGAAAAGGAAATCCAGTTTTCAGATGGTGCACCTACAAAGTACAAGTCAAAGTATAAATTTGTAGACATGAACATGTGTCATGAAGATTTTGGTTTTAGTGTGGAGAAGCACTGTTTTGGATCTCTCAATGGTAAAAGACCATGTGACGGAGAAGCTGGGGTGAAGAAAGTAAGTGCTAGTCTGGCTGTTACATTAAGAGGAACCATTATTTCAAATGCCAAGGACTTTTTCAACTATTCCAAAAATAAACTTTTGGTGGTGATGATGGCTTTTTTCGTAGTATGTCAAGGTATACATCTATTTGTCTTATGATGTTTTTTTTTAAAAAAAAAAACTCCATTCGTCTGTGGAAAACGAAATATTTTTCTCCTGTGAAGTAGTGTTCTTCAATCTTATTCTTTTTTCGTTCTGGTTGAATCCACTTGATAGAGTGATTCTGTCGCTAAGCTGCATGATTGTTGTTGTTTATTTTTTCTTTTGCAAATAAATATGTAGAGATTGCTTTCTCTCTTATTTTTGGCGGAAGCCGCCTTTAACAATTACTTTGATCACCTTTTACCTCTCAAGATGTCAGAGGTCATTTATGCCCTTTTTCATGGTACTCCAAACGGATGTATCTTACACTAAGGGCATACAACCCGCTATTCATTATTCGACACTTTTCCCAATCTTTATCGTTATTATCATATCAAAAGCGTGTGCCTGTTATAACTGAATTTATTATCTCCTCGCGCAACTTGTTTCTGAGGGGATATAACATCCCGAATATGCGTATGTATGTGTATTTGTGTGTTTGTTAAGCTTGTGGGCAAGATTTACAGAGAACCTTTGCATTAACTACTTTCAGCCTTGTGAGACTACATACTTGTGTGGCATTATAAAAGGACGAAGCCTATTGATTTTCAATATCAAATTCAAAGTCAATGAAAACAGCTGTATGGGAATTTGGGGTGCACGTTATTCCTGAAAGCTCATGCACGTAGCATCGTTTTTGAAAGTGGGGGGACAACCAGAGAAATTTTTTTTAACTTACCCCTAAAAGTTGGCAAGCAACAAAAAAATGAATACTAACTACTAACCAAATACGAAAATCCTATTTCGTGGGAGGGAGGGGGGTACTGGCCAACATTTTTCAAGTCAAACTTCCTATCACTTTCAATTCTTAACATACACTGTTACATTTTCCTTGATAACATTATAGTGCGTTTAGAAGGGGGGGGGGGGCAACCAACCTTTCAATGGACATTTTCAATAGTAAAGGTACTGTTGGGGGAGAAAGGGGGGGGCTACGTGGTTTACACGAAACGCTACACGGTTTGCACGAAAGGCTTCACGGTTAACACGAAACGCTTTGCACGAAAGGCTGCAGGGTTTACTCGAAAGGCTGCACGAAACGCTTTGTTCACGTTTAATATTTCTCACACGCTTTATACACGATTCTCGCACGTTTTGGATTTTCTACTCAGAATATCTCGGACACTATTACGATTTTTTCATAAATTAAATGGAAATCTTTCAGAAAGCCACATTTAACAGCTGTGTGAATATTAGTCCATTAGTATCATATAAACTGATAGAAATATATAAAACTCGTAGCTGTAATTGATAAATAAATAATTGTCATTTCGTATTTATTTATCCAAATGTTTAAAAACGAAATGCCGATATCATGAACATCGTTCATTGAATGACTTGTTTAATAAAATACAATTTTTATATATTAGTCGTTCATTACAATGTAATATTTTTACGAGTATTATTTAATAAATTGGACAAAAATTCGATTTCTTGCTGCAGGAATATGAACTCATTGATTTTTAATAATATTGATTATATTGTTTGATTTCTGTAGGCGGATTATTTTTCTTGATTTTCATTTAGTAATAAAATTTGCCTATATACTCTGCTAATGATTATTGATACATTTAAATTTTTTTTATTTTATGTAAGCATTATCTATAGGAGAGAAACCGATAAAGGGGGAGGTGGTAAATGTGATGTCTTAAACTTTTTTTACTCTCCTTCTATTTTTACATGAAGCTTATCAAATAACATCAGTATACCCATCATGCTGTAAAATCCTTCATTTCAAATTATGACTAGACGTATGTATATATGTGTACATTAATTAATAGTCGCGGCATTTGAATATGCATTGTACATACAATGTAGCTATATAGATCGATCTTTACACCGGCATTCATGTATATTAAAAGAAAACTGAAATCTCTTAGATGAAATAAAAAGTACGTGATTTATAAAACAAATAATAGATAATTATTCATGATTTACTCCTAAACTTTTCTTACATGATATTCATGAACAGACTACCAAGTTTTGTTTATTTTATACTTTATGGCTAGAAATTCGGATTTACAAATAATAGATGAAATCCGATGATATATAAGTTGTACCCATTAAGTATTCATAGAACCATTTTATTTAAAAAAACAGTCGTAATTTGCATGTGTCATTAAGCCGTGAAGTCGCTGTTATAAATGACCTTGATCACAGTTGAAAGGAGGAAAAAAGATTCCAATATATTTTTAAGGGGTGTATCTGCGCACACATTTAACAGAGGATTTAAAAAAGAATAGAAAAATTAAGCATTTATTTAAACTAACATTAGATTGAAAGTTACATGTACATCAAAAAATGAAACACCGTAATATTAATTTAATTACTTCCCCCCCCCCCCCCGTTTCTAAACTTGTGGACGTCAGTGCATGTGGATTGAAATTAGAATCCATGTATTTGACAATAATGAGCAACAAATTTTATGTATTAAAAAGTATCAAATGACACATCGTTTTAAAAAAAATTTTCATGTACTTTAAATGTGAACACAAGAGCGGAGTCCTTTTTTGTTTTAAATTAAAAAAAAAAAAATTAAATTTTGAGCTAAGTCTTTCTGAATACATTTTTTTAAGAGTGAACATGGTCTGGAATTTCACAGTTTGGAATCCCCCAGTTTTTATTTATATAATCTGTTATAAAATTTTCTAAAATTATCGACTGTTCTAAGTCTTTTTTCATGCATTCAATCATTTGTTGAAGAGCCCACAGTTCTTCTTTCAGCAAGGGCCTGTCTTGTTGATATTTTGGTGTCCTGCAGCTTCTCTCCAAGGCTGCATATTTTCTTGGGCTCTTCTTTCTGTAGATATAATGAGAAAATAGTCAGGATCATGAAAAGTGTTTGTGTGATGCATTTAAACCATATAAACACATGATAAAATAATTTAAATTTGAATTAATTAAACATACTATCTTATAAAAACATAAACGAACATGGTATCATTTATTTTGATTATTGCGGTACCCCCTGATTTAAGGATATAAAACAAGATTTTAAAAAACGTTAATAATTACCTAAATGTCTTCAGGAAATCATTCCCTCTATTCGGGGTTGCCATTGGCGCAGTTATGGTTGAGGTAGATTGAACAAACTCCCTTTTAATTGGAGTTGCCATGGGTGCAGTTACCATTAGTGGAATTTGACCAAACTTTCTTTTGATTGGATTTTCTTTGGTCACAGTTAGGGATGACGTAGTTGTGCCCAACTCTCATTTAATTGAGGTTGTCGGCGCAGTAAAGTTTGACGTAGTTTTTCCAAACTCTCCTTTATTTGGGGTTGCCATTGGAGCGAACTCGCCTTTAATTGGAGTTGCTTTAGGTGCTTTCCTGAAAAAAGTTTTACGATATATTTCATTGTTTGAAAGAATTATCAATAATACATGACATAAACTGTTTTTAAAATGATTTTAAGAACATAATGATAAAGATATTTTATTTTCAAATGACATTGTGTATATCAAAAAGTACTAAGTATAAAAAATCTCTCTGAACAAAAAAAATTAAAGTTACCTGAGCAATTTCATCAACTGACTCGGTTTCCGTTTTTTTCCCACCCCTTTCTTCTTGGAGAACCTGAGATTGCGTCTTCTCAGTTGCTATAGTGTTAATGTTTAGCAGCCCAGGATCGATAGACGGCTCCAAATTTTCTATGTTGCCAGAGTCCGTAGCATCGTCCCCCGTCAAGGCAAAATAAGGGTCGAATGGAGAATAACTTAGACTACAAAAAGCATTTTTTATTAGTCAAATTTATACACAATAAAATTTTCTAAATCACGAATTTTAGGTAGTACATGATAATAATGAACAAAAAAATGATGCAATACTTAAAATAACGCGATTGTTGGGGATAACCCTGAGAAATAACATTTTGTAAATCTGTTTTAAAAGCAAAATTAAAAAAAAAAAGTTGATAAAATATGAAGAAAACTTAAGCACTTTCATTTTTTGTCAAGCAATGTCTATTGTTATCGACTAAAACTACAATTCAACGGGCTTTTATTTACTATAGTTTTGAATGTAAAGTAGTCATGTCTCTAACTATTTTTTACAATTTTTTTTTTTGGCAACTCAGTTGTACTTATAGTTATTTTAAGCAATCCAAAAGTCTCTTCTCTATATAGTAGGAACGATAAGTGTGGATGTTCTAAACTGGTATCGTACGTGCGTGTACGATAAGCGGGGTACCAATTTAATATACACACATTGTAAAATAATCGTTCCAATTCAGAGAACTTAAAATTAAAATTAGAGATGAAATTGTGAAATTTTATTTAAGATGAAATTTTTTGGATAAATTAGGATAAAGTACATGAAATCTATTACACAACAACAAAACGATCGGTCTAGATAAGTATACAATACATGTGACTTACTTGCCCCTCGTTTGAGATTGGCAAAAGAGACCATTCTTCTCCCAACAAATCCCATTCAAGCTCAAAGTCATCAAACACAGGTAGCGTTTTAAGCTCACCTGAGCCGAAGGCTCAAGTGAGCTTTTCTGATCACATTTTGTCCGTCGTCCGTCCGTCTGTCTGTCAGTAAACTTTTCACATTTTTGACTTCTTCTCAAGAACCACTGGGTCAATTTTGTCATAACTTGGTACAAAGCATCCTTGGCCGAAGGGGTATTTAAATTGTTAAAATGAAGGGCCAAGTCCCCTCACAAGGGGAGATAATCAAGAAAAAAGTAGGAAGGGGTCATTAAAAATCTTCTTCTCAAGAACCACTGGGCCAGAAAAGCTGAAACTTATGTGGAAGCATCCTGGGGTAGTGTAGATTCTAAATTATTCAAATCATGACCCCCGGGGTTAGGGTGGGGCCATAATGAGGAATCAAAGTTTTACATAGAAATATATAGGAAAATTCTTTGAAAATCTTCTTCTCAAGAACCACTTGGCAAGAAAAGCTGAAACTTATGTGGAAGCATCATTAGGTAGTTTAGATTCTAAATTGTTCAAATCATGACCAAAGGTGGTAGGGCGGGGCTAAAATGGGGAATCAAAGTTTTACATAGAAATATATAGGAAAATTCTTTGAAAATCTTCTTCTCAAGAACCACTGGGCCAGAAAAGCTGAAATTTATGTGCACATCGAAGTATCCTGGGGTATCGTAGATTTCAAAATGTCTAAATCATGATCAGTGGGGTAGGGTGAGGTCGCAATATGTATAAAAATGGGGAAATCTGGTAAAGAACAGAAAAGTCAAAGCTTCTCAGGTGAGCGATGTGGCCCATGGGCCTCTTGTTTTGGGGATGAGGGAGTCTGCATATTATTCTCGCTCCTATTTATATAACAAGAGGCCCATGGGCCTTATAGGTCACCTGAGCATCATGCAACAACTTTCAAATGATTGAATTTGGTTCATGTTTTAAGCTAGATGCTATGGCATTCACAATTCTGAAAGAGGCACCATTGCTAATCATAATTATACACTTAGCAATTGTTTAGTTTGTTTACTTAATTTAATATGGATAAGCAGGGTAGGGGAACAAAAAGTATGTCAATTAATCAGTAATATTCAGCAATAATCAGGAGTGCTCCCACCACATATGAACCCCTGACCCTAGGTCTATACATTGCACAATTTTTGAAAAGGCACACTTGCTTATCAAAAAATGTTTGATTAATACCAAGGAGCAGATTTCAAACAATTCTTTTTCAGTATATAAGTATAGCCCCCCCCCCTCCCCATTTTGGTATCTCAGACCCAGGGGCCTTGAAATTCACAATTCTGGAAATAGAGCCCATCCCATCATAACTATGTTAATAGTTCATTCTGCTTATTACCCAGGAGTAGAGAAAAAGATTTTCATAGATGTAATGTATTTTCATCATATAATCATTATAGAGCCACATCCTAACACCATAACCCCTGACCCTGGGGCCATAAAATTCACAATTTATGGTAGAAGCATTCTTGCTCATCATAACTATGTCCTTAATTAGATTATTCAATACTCAGAAGCAGAGAAGAAGATTTTCAAAGATTTAATGCATTTTCACTATATCATCAATTGAGCCCCGCCCTAACACCAGAACCCCTGACCCTGGGGCCATAAAATTCACAATTTTGGTAAAGGCACTCTTGCTCATCATAACTATGAAATTAATTAGTTTATTTAATACTCAGGAACAGAGAAGAAGATTTTCAAAGATTTAATTCATTTTCTCTATATAATCAATAGAGCCCCGCCCTAACACCAGAACCCCTGACCCTGGGGCCATAAAATTCACAATTTTGGTAGAGGCACTCTTGCTCATCATAACTATGAACTTAATTAGTTTATTTAATACCCAGGAGCAGAGAAGAAGATTTTCAAAGAATTGATGCATTTTCACTATATAATCAATAGAGCCCCGCCCTAACACCAGAACCCCTGACCCTGGGGCCATGAATTTCACAATTTTGGTAGAGGCACTCTTGCTCATCATAACTATGAACTTAATTAGTTTATTTAATACTCAGGAACAGAGAAGAAGATTTTCAAAGAAATAATGCATTTTCACTATATAATCAATAGAGCCCCGCCCTAACACCAGAACCCCTGACCCTGGGGCCATAAAATTCACAATTTTGGTAGAGGCACTCTTGCTCATCATAACTATGAACTTAATTAGTTTATTTAATACCCAGGAGCAGAGAAGAAGATTTTCAAAGAATTAATGCATTTTCACTATATAATCAATAGAGCCCCGCCCTAACACCAGAACCCCTGACCCTGGGGCCATGAATTTCACAATTTTGGTAGAGGCACTCTTGCTCATCATAACTATGAACTTAATTAGTTTATTTAATACTCAGGAACAGAGAAAAAGATTTTCAAAGAAATAATGCATTTTCACTATATAATCAATAGAGCCCCGCCCTAACACCAGAACCCCTGACCCTGGGGCCATAAAATTCACAATTTTGGTAGAGGCACTCTTGCTCATCATAACTATGAACTTAATTAGTTTATTTAATACCCAGGAGCAGAGAAGAAGATTTTCAAAGAATTAATGCATTTTCACTATATAATCAATTGAGCCCCGCCCTAACACCAGAACCCCTGACCCTGGGGCTTTAAAATTCACAATTTTGGAAGAGGCATTCTTCCTCATCATAACTATATACTAGTTAGTTTATTTAATACCCAGGAGTAGAGAAGAAGATTTTCAAAGAATTAATGCATTTTCATAATATAATCTGTATACCCCCACCATAGCAGTAGAACCCCTGACCCTGGGGCCATGAATTTCACAATTTTGGTAGAGGACTCAATGCTAATCACAATCATACCAACAGTTTGACTGCTTGATGTCTGGGAGTAAAGAAGAAGATTTTTAAAGATTGCACTAATTTTAGTGGTTTTTGCCCCACCCCCCAGACCCCAGGGGGGCAGGGACCACGAAATTCACAATTTTTGTTCCCCTTCACCCATAGATGCTATATGCCAAAATTCGTTGAAATTGGTTCAGTGGTTTCAGAGAAGAAGCTGAAAATGTTTAAATGTTAACGCACGACGCACAACGCACAACGGACGACGACGGACAAAAACAGATAGCAATAGGTCACCTGAGTTTACTCAGGTGACCTAATAAACCAGATGTGTTTGTGAAACACTATGCGCCCGGTGGCAACAAAGTTCAAAAAATCTATTTTTAGCATATTGGTCACAGTCAAGGTCACAAGATCATTGAGATTGGTGTCCTTTGGAAGAATTTAATTGGTGGAATAAGCATACCAAATATGAATTCCCTATCTCCTATGGTTCAAAAGTTATGGCAAAAAGAGTAAAAAGTTATTTTTAGCATATAGGTCACAGTCAAGGTCACAAGGTCATTGACCTTCATGTCATTTGAAAGGACTTTATTAGTGGAGTATACATACTAAATATGAAGTCTCCATCTCTTATGGTTCAAAAGTTATAGCGAAGGTTAAAGTTGACAACAGACAGAAAGACAAACAGACAGGACAAAAACAACATACGCCCGGGATCTATCGATCCGGGCGCATAAAAAAGGGTTTTCAAAGGTGTTGGTATACAAAGAAAACATAAATTAATATATCTGAAGATTCTGTTATTTAATTCTACATTACGTTCATATTTTATCATAATTAATAATAGTTTTCTTTAAGAATGACAGGATATATTTGAATTCGTAGCTCATTATCATGGTTTTTTTTTTTAAATCTTTTACTTTTTTTTCTTCTTTGTTCAATACGTTAGATAGAATTTTAAATATACATATATTGTAACTTAACGTGCAACTTTACATTCAAACTAATACAGTCGCCCGCGTTGCGCAGTGGTAAGAGCGTCTGCTCTAGAGTCGCGAAGTAAGAAGTCAATCCATACGTCGCGGGTTAGAATCCCACTGTGGAGACCGGTCCTTCGGATGATACCGTTTAAACCGAGGCCCCGTGTCGCAGTAGGTGCTGGCACGATAAAGATCCCTTATTGCTCAAAGGCCCTGAGTGCCGAGCAAAGGACAAAATTTGTAGTCCTCCACCTGCAAGTGGTGGCGTCTCCATATGAGTTGAACAATATACAATCAATCAAACTAATACAAGATATTTTCAAAAATTTATTCCCGTTTCTTATTTTAATGATAACGTATGATAGAAACTTACATGTTAAATAATTCTTCCGCCATCTTTTCTCAACTCAAGAAAGCTATCTTCTTTCTTCTTTAAAAGTCAAGTTATCTTAGACTGAGGTAACCCTTTTCCTTATTTAAAAAAAAAATGAAAAGAAAAAAAAACTTGATGAATTATCTTTTCCCTATTACGCGGAGAAATATTTAGAGTTAGGAATCTGTTTTCAGTTCATTATTAACTTTTCAAATGTAATAAAATTCCTTACAAAATGTAAGCGATCTTGTGATGCTATATTCAATATAGAAAGTTATTCAAAATGTTCCATTTTGAATTAAGTCAAGATCTTTACATTTAGTAAAATAAGACCCAGCATCTTCCACCAGAATTAATTATCGGTTTTATTAATACCCCTGAGTGCTTTGAAATGTAGAAAGTTATAATTGAGATGTCCAAATTAAGATTTTTTGAAAAATGGTTTTGTCTCATACACCATGGTATAAGAGGAAAGCAGAGTTTGTGGACCAAATACAAAAAAATGCAAGATTATTCATGAAAGATATGCAAACCAGGTTTACAGTCTGACACCTTTTTCCAAGATTGCTTTTCGATAGATGGGACACACCTTCTGAATAAATTTATTGATTTTTTTTTCTCAAATTATGTGTTTTCATCTAAAGAGTTTAATATAGTTAAAAACATTGCTGTGACATCATTCCTTTGTTCTTGCAGTCCAAAAATTTACCTGTGGCAGTCCGATATTAGTGAGCAGTCTGATATTAATCGTAATATCAGTACTGATGTCCTTCAAAACCGGACTGCTACAGACCAAAAGCAAAATAATGCAATTATTTAACAAACAGTAAACTTTAATATGATTTATGTACACAATG